CACAGAACATTTTATATATGAAGAAAAGAGACATACAATGTTATAAAATCCCATAAGAACTATACATGGTGGTGCACACCTGTAATCCCAGTGGTTTAGGAGACTGAGGCAGGAAGATTACAAGTTCAAAGCTAGCCTCAGCAAATTATGATGCCCTAAGCAACTTGGCAAGAACGTGTGTCAAAACAAAAAATAAAAAGAGCCGAGGATGTAGCTCAATGGTTAAGCACCCCTGGCTTTAATTCCCAATACCAAAAAACAAAAAACCTCACATGAAGCAAATCCAACTAGATCCTAAGATCAGAAAAACTGAAGAATAAATAATAGTTAATACTATTAAATAATAAATAATACATGGAGGCTTCAACTCCAAGGAAAAAATATTCTAGGTCAAGATAAATTATTAATTCAAAAGATGCTTCAGAGTTTATCTGAAAACCAATAATTACTTTATAAGACCAACTGAAATAATTATATGAAGTGATTGCAATGGAATATCAAAAGGAGAGTTTGAGTGTTCTTTTAGGTTTTGAAAAATTGGCAAGTCAGTGGCAAATCATTACTATTTGTGACACACTTTCTAGCAGCAGCCCCGGAATACTCCTGGAAATTGTCTCATAGACTGTGAGAGTCATATATGTATTTGGTAATCTTAAAATCCTTGAATTGAATTTGGTTCAAAGGATCTAGACCTTATTACTTCCTCATGTTATCATCAACATTTACTTTGACCTTCATTTAGAAAAAGGAGTCTCTATGTCCACAGGAGTCCAGTTACATTATTATGTGGACCTGAATTTGAGAGCATACAGGGAGTGAATTTTCTCTCATTCCCTGCAATATTAAGCAATAAATTGCTTTTGTTGACATTGCATGTGTATCCATTACAGGGCAATTTATGCAAATACAACTGTTTTATTACAAAATCTCATCATCTGAGAAAATCGTGTTACAGTCCTCTTTGAAAGTTCAACATGAAGCAGTTTCTGTGTTTATTTAAATCTTCCAGGACCATCCACAAGAGAACAATTATTGAGGCTCTCTTGGATGGCTTAGAAAAATTGTGAATGGGCATCTGTGTTCCAAACAAATTATATGACTCCTGTTAAAGCACAGATTCTTTTCTCTGATGTGATTATCTTGATTTGCTTTAACCCAGAATGACATGACAGAGCTCATCATGCTCTGCTACCAGGTGCAGGGCAGAGATAGCTCCACTCTGGGTTCTAAGTACCTGCTACCTGAAGACTTAAGTCAGAAGGAAATTTTGAAGCTAGAGCATTCTAAAAGTGAAAAGACATATATAAATGAGAATTACAATCCTCCAAGTCACTCTGTTTAGAGAGAATGGAATTGAACTCCTTCAGCCTGCTCCCAGCATACAGAAACAACAGGATTGAGCCTGTGCTTGCTTACTGTCTCTCTTATACGTGTGTGTGCGCGCACACACACACACACACACACACTCCACACACTCATGGGAGATCATGAATAGCTCACCTCCTCTTCTTATACTTCTTATTTGGTGAAAGCAAATTAATAAGAATAGTAATTAGCTTATGAAATAAAGAACCTTGTAATTACAACTAAAGGCAGATATCATCTATCACTCAGGTTATTTTCCAACTATTCAAATTCAAAGAGTAACTGTCCTTATCCAGTGTGATCCACTAATGGTCAGATATTGTTGGATATTTAAATGCTTTCCCTATGTCTTCTGTAATTTACCAGCCTGAGGAAGCAGGCACCATGAATCTCATTTTCTCTATGAAGAAGCCAAGGCTTGCAAAATTAAACCCTGTATCAAAGTGTTTATAATAAAAAATATTGGAGTTTAATATTCAAATACAGGTCTTTCTGGCACCAGAACCAGTGAGCTTGCTCATTTCTGCACTTTACTTACACACACACACACACACACACACACAGTGAATTTGTGTCCTTGAGGGTCAACTTCAAGAGTCAGCAGATAAGGAAAGAAGTGTACATTTAATATTATCTCAAATATTCCATCAACCAGTTGGGTGTAGTAGCACAAACCTGTAATCCCAATGACTCAGGAGGCTGAGACAATAGGATCGCAAGTTCAAGGCCAGCCTCAGCAACTTAGAAAGACTTCTAGCAATTTAGCTAGATCCTAGAAAGACCAGAGATGTAGTTAATAGGTAAGAGGATGCCTGAGTTTAGTTATCAATATTAACATATCCCTTACCTGTAAGAATACTTATAGGAAATTCCAATAGAGCAAGTTTTCCTTTTCTCTTTCAGAAATATAATATATTCCTCTTTCTTTCACTAGATATCAGAGGAAATAATTATATATTTTTTTAGAAGTCATGGGATATAAATACATATCTTTAAATACTAGAATAACCTTTGGAGTCACAAGATCCTCACATTGAAAGAGGTCCACAGAAATGAAACCAAATGAACCTCCCACTTTTTTGAGGCCATACTCACATGGAGTATGATACAAATTACAATTTCCCCTTCCCTCCTTCTTTCCCACCCTGTCATTTCTTATTATATAAGTATATAAGTTAATTCATTCAGATTAATTGCTCATATGATATAATTCCAATTAATTTTATTATGAACATCTCCAAGTACCATCATACTATGAGGAACTAATGTTCAGGACATCCCCTGAAGCTGAACCTTCAGTGTTCTCTCAAACTTCTACAGCAGCACATGGCTTTTAACTGATCCTCATCCCCAAGAGAAAATATTCTCAGATTGAAGGATTTCATTCAAAATGATGTCCTAAGATAAAATTTTTATTTTTATTTCAATGAATGATTGGATAAAAAACACATTCTGAGGGAGTTCAGACCACATTACAAGAGCTGCTCATTTTTGCAGTCATTAATTAGAAATCCCTGATATTATATCTTAAATTTCCACAGAGTGACACTAGGAAAACATAACTGTATGAACCCCATCAATGATCTGTCTTTAGAATACACTCTTTTATAAAGACTCAGAACAAAGATATGACTTGGTCCTAAAATAAGAAAAAACCATCCTTTACTGAATAATCAGCATGATTTTGACCTTATAAACCTATAAAGTTTGTAACAGAATAGTTACAATTCTTTCTTTGCTTTATCGAGTACAAAGTTCAGTATTAAATTTGAGTATCTGAAATTCATCTATGAGCTCTATCTTACTATATTTACCCATATTCTCTCTTGATCTTATCTATTTGCTTCTATTCTGATGTTTTAGGTATTTCTCTATGTCAGCCTCTAGTCATATTGTGATCAAAGCAGGATTCAAAGAAATAAAGAAATAAAAACAGTCATCCTAAATGAATAGGTATATCTTTGGGGACTCATGAAGTCAGTTGTTAATGAATCCTATAAATCATAGCATGGCACAAGGCCAGGGTTAAGATTTCTATACTAATCAGAAAGTTTTTAGCTAAATTACACTCAATATTTCTCCATCAGGAACATAGCAGTTAAGGCCATAGTAATGAATGAGACAGACAGGGTCTCCTGTTAGAGCCTGAGGGACAAAGTAACGGCAAAAACAAGAAGAAATTTTATTAACACAAGATAAGAGCTGTGGAGGAAGATGCTATACCAAGCCAACAGGACAAAGGATGGTGGGTGAATATGTGTGGTCAAACCTAGAAATGATGTTCAGGATGATACAAATCTCTGATGAATTTTGAAATAAGAGCTAATAATGATGCACTGAATTAAAAATAAGATTTACAACCAAACCTTAGCCCCCTTCTTCCAGCAGCCACATGCAGATACATCAGCCGTATTTTAAAAAAAGACATATCTTAATATACATGTTAACTGGGAGTCAAATACTCAAAGCTCTGTCTTCAAAACTTGTGATGTCTTTCCTCATCAAATACAACTCTTTCTTTCTTCATGATTAATTAATTAATTTTGCAATATTGGGGATTGACCTCAGGGGTGCTCTTCCAATAAGCTCTATTACTAGCCCTTTGAATAATGATAATAATAATAATAATCACAATTATTATTATTATTTGAAATTTGGATATGGTCTTAGTAAGTCCAAGCTAACCTCAAACTTGCAATCCCCCTGCTTCAGCCTCCTGAGTCACTGGGATTATAGGTGTGTACCACCACACCCACCTTGGACTCTGTTTCTATTGCCCTGTTAATTTGTTCACATTTATAGTCCATTAACCACAGTAGTCAACAATCATTTCAAGTGAATAATTTTTTTACAAACAAAACTGAATTTAAGCTTATTTGAGCATAAGAACTATATAGAAATTTCCAACCATGCACACACACCCACATATACAACACACACACACACACATATACACACATTTACTATATCCAATATTTCAGCATGTGGAAACCTGAATATTTATTGTCAAAATTCCTAAAGTGAGAATTTTGTCTCATTTTCTAGAACATGCCAGTAGCCAATATTTGAACTTATTACTTCCAATTTGAGTTGAATAGACAAACATTAAAGAATCCTAAGTTTCACTAAATAAAACTGTCTTTATTAGAATAATCTAAAGTCCAAAAGGTTAAATACATTGTACAACCTGGATAATTTATTTTGTTTTGTCTTAGTCATTCAGCAGCATTACTGTTAGTCTTCAAATCAAAATGGAACTGTGATAGGGTTCACCTAATTCTAAACCATTCTGCCCATTTTGGAAATGTATCCATGCAGAGACACATCCAGCATATTCTCAGGTTTCTATATAGACTGGAATCTATCATCTGACAGAAGTAAGATATCAATTATAGTACCTATTTTCTTCTGTTCATTTCTACTGGTACTTAGGGGACCTTAGTTTCACACCTTTGAAAATCTCTCTGAAAATAGCAGCATGTTATAAACAAAGATGTTACAGTTGTGGTTTGCAGGATTTCGGGAATGTGAGTGTGAGACGGGGTGACTCTCTGTAGTGTTCACTCAATGACGTCTAAAAGGAACCCTACAAGCCATTTGAAAAGGGTAACTTGGTGACCGCAATTGCTTCCTACCTGCCTCTTTTGAAATCTGTGTGAAGGATTCAACACCTTTTTCTCCATAACTTCCTTCAGATGCGAGAGTAGACACATAGTTCCAGCCAAGGGCCTTTACGATGTCTACCATGGCCTGGGCTTGAAAGGAATCAGGTGGGACCACACGGGAGAAGAAGTCATACCGCCGGTCGTCACTGAGCTCCGGTGCTGTGGATGCATAACTAATCTGAGGGATCTGAAAAAAAGAAAGCACCACAAGAGAGCATATGGTCAGGATAGGAGCAACTCATTAATATTTATGACAGGTTACGCAAAGTACAGAGCAGGAACAGTAAAGGGGGTATGTGTTTGGCCATATTACCCTCATGTCATCTTAGACCACCTAACTATGACTACTTCTTTGCAGTACAGAAGTGTTGTTGAAGTCTTGCCCTTTCATTTTCCCTCTTAGAAGGAAAGGTTGATGATAGCATGAAAATTTCAAGGTCAGGGTTGTGGTTGGTTAGGAGAAAAGCATTTATGCCCATTCTACTCAATATTGTATATTCCCCTTCATGCTTTCCTTCTTAACAACAATAGAAATAAAAGCATAACACCCTAACTGGACTGTATTCAGAGCTTGGTTTAGTTGATACAGCTTTTGAATATTTAGGAATATAATTAGCCATTTTTTCACTGATTAAGTCCTGGAGACCTGCAAGGAAATATCCCTGTAAGCTACATGAATTGTCTAATTCAGTCTTCACAAGAATGGCACAAAGCAGCTCAGCCCCATGCAAAGGCATTTCTTGCTCAGAAGAAGCCTTAGCCCTGCAGCCCTTCCTGGCTTACGTCCACATTTCTCAGCAAACTACCTGTTACCTGCAGGAGAAACGTAAGCCCAAAATGCCAAAAAGAAAAACAGAAGTTACCCTGAAGTGGGAGACTTTTGTGACCCTTATATACACCAGATCCTGGAACTTAGGATGATAAGGATAATCACCAGTAACCATAAAATCTGTAAGAACAGGCCCCAGTTAGAACCAGTCATTTTGGACCAAAATGATCTAGAGTGGTCATGGCAGTGGGGACTTGATAGTCTGATACCATTGTGCTGTCATTCAAAAGATAAGAGGTGGACCTGGAGGAGACTCTCTGGAAACTTCTCTGGGATCCCCAATTAAACTGGAGGGGAGGAGAGACACACCGTCCCTCTTCTCTCTGGGAGGTCCCACTCTTCTCCCTCTTTTCCCCTTTCCTATTCTTTCTAATAAACTCATGCCTGTTACTCCAAAAAACAAGTCTGAAATCCTTTTGGCCTGATTGCAAACAAGGTTTAAAGGGGGGGGGGGTCTCTGTGACTACCTCAGCTTTGTGTGGGCCCATGCCCTGTAACAGAAGGTCACTGGATAACAATCAAATGCCTTCCCTTAGCCCAGGTAGTATCTCTTTTTTTAGGAGCATAAGTGATATGATTACGTGAGTAGTCTTGATACCTTGATTTTAGCCAAATCAAATTATATAAATAAAGAAACTGCATTTAAAAAGACTTGCCTACACTCTCAAACAACCTAAGACAATCCCAAAAATAGGCCTGGATGAGGAATCTTGTTTGGAAACTAATGCCAGGAACCCTATGCTAGTTACTTCTACAATACACTAAACACACACACACACACACACACACACACACACACACACCATTTTTTCTCTTAGCTCCAGCAAGTACTTAAGTATGATTAGTATAATTTGTATGTAAGAACAATCAACTCTAACAATATTCTGCTTGAAAACTCTTTCAGGACTTAACCCTGATTTATCATAATGATTTCTCAGATATCTAAAATACAGTTATAATCTCTGTTCAGATTGTGTTCAACAGTCAATCTAGTTTGGCCCCAACATGCCAAAGCTAAAGTCAAAATGCCCCTTTGAGCCCTGCATGCTCTTCAATATTAACCTTTTTGCCTTTTTCTCTTTTTGTCTTTTGGCTGAATGTATCCATATGACAATGTTTAAGGCTGGTTATCACTTCTTTAAACATCATTTCTTCACTGTTCAGCTTCAAAGTCAAGTCATGCTGCCTTGACATCATAGCACCCACCACTATTTTCCTTGTATCAGAACTGTGTTGCAGTTCTACTCTACAGCCAGTTGGGGGATGGCTCACTGCCCCTGACTCAAAGCCAATGCAGAATGAGGAGGCCTCAATATCATTGGATGGATCTTTACCTGAGCAACTATTCTATCAGTACAGTATACTAAATCAAGACTATACTATACCATGCTATTCTATTATTCTACTAAACTATAGCAGACTACTTTATTACTATATTACACTATATCATATTATTCTATTTCTACATTACTGTATCACATGCTATTCTATTACTAAAGTGTATTACAACATACTATCCCATTGCTATGCTATTCTATATCAATGCTAAACTATTTCATACTATTCCATCACTGTGCTATATCAACACTATACTATATCATACTATTCAATTACTACACTATGTTATATCATATTATTCTATTTTTACAATATACTATATAATGCTACTCTATTATCAACTTGTTTTGACAAAAGTAGAGAATTAAGAGAAGAATATGAAAAAAAGAAGAAGAATATGAGCCTGTCTTAGGTCATAAAGTTGTAGAGATCCCTACTCAAACACTGCAAATGTCTAAACTCTTAATTTTGCTAAACTGTTACTAAGATGTTTTAATAATAACCAGAACATGAGGAAAACCAGTATATTATGGAAGTCCAGGCTGATTTCTGCCCACAGCACAGACTAAATAGTCATTAAAAGTTATTTTGTTAGTCATTCTTAGACTCTGTTTAGACATTTTATTTAAATTCCTTGGTAGAAATGCATGCAAATATTTTTATAGAATGAGTTACTTAAGTGTTGGTTATAGTTCAGAGGTTTAAGTCTGAGTCAAGGAAATCTAATGAATAAAGACTTTGGGAGAAAAGCGGGGGCAGGGAGGAAAAGAGGCTTCTCCTCACAAGAAGTAAAAATCCTTTTCCATCAATTTCAATTTATGGGAACGCAAAAGCTTCGTGCTTTTGCACAGATGCCATTCCTGCCAAAAACCCTTCCACCTTGGAAACAGTGCTAATAAAGATATACTCAGCATTCTATTTGAATTTGTATTAATGTAGCTGCTGCAAAATATCATAATTGGAAAGGCCTCAATGCAAATGAATTTTCTAAACTGTGCCCCAAATTTTCATAATGAAAATCCCAGTTAAGCAGATTTCCTTCCTCATCACCACTTAGACTTAGAAAATGATTGCTCTCTATGGTTGTCCCTTCCAGTGTAAATAACCAATATCTACTGGCTTAAGACCTATGTTTCCCTTTAGATCATGCACAGGTTCTCCATTTGATGATACTTGTTTCTATATCACACATATAATGATGCTAGAGTAAGGAATGAAAGAATAAATGAATTTCATTTCTGAGATAACAATATAAATTTACAAAGATATCTCTTCCAGTAAGAGAGATGAAGGATTGGAAGGGTTTATGTAACCTAGGAAAATATTTAGCCATGATGCTTCTTATTTAGACACTTGTTTCCAAGCTAATGTTTAAGTCTCCACCATCATTATTTGGAGGTGTGGGTTACAACTGGTATATACAACTGGCCAAGTGATTATTAGTCAACTATAATGATTAACTTCTGCTCTCTCCTTGATACTTAGAGATACTTTCTCTTTCTACTATTAAAACCCTCCCTTCATTCCAATCTCCTATCAAAGTCAAGAACTGATCTTTTAATAGAAACAATTCAGTGTAATGATTTTCCAGCTATAGATAATAGACATTACGTCCCTTCATGAGGCTCCTTTTCCATTAGAAAACTTGAACATTTTTTATATTTATCATAGAGATAAAATGTCATGTTTTTTTTTCTTTTTTCTCATTTCATAAAAATTGGCCTATCATCACACAAGAATGGTTTTGTTAATGATTGAGTCTCCAATAGCTTTGGAAGTATACATAGCTTACTCTACATGCTTTTACTTAGGAAACTAACAATAAATATTATTTACAAAAAAAAAATACAGAGAATAAAAACCAAGAAAATCGGTTAATGTTAATTCCTGCATGCCTTTTAACATTTGTTATATCTTTTTTTATTGTTCTTGTTTGTGTATTTGGCTATGCATACATATGTTATTCATTATGAGAATTTGAATCTTGGTCTCTTCTTCCCTCCTCTCTTTTTCTCCCACCTCTGTTTCTGGTTGCATAATATTCTGGTTGACTATTTAACACCCTTTTTAAGCTTCACTATCATTAGAAGTCAAAACAAAATCCTCAAACCTGATCAAGTCCCTTGTACACATGTACGCATCCTTCCTTGGACATGTTCAAGACTCTGTTCCTCCAAGTGACAAAAGTATCTCTGACCCTCACTGAAATCTTTCTCTTCATGGAAATTACTTTGGGTTGTCACATAAGGTAGAATAGCAATATGTATCTTTTTGCACTTGAATGGGTAGCTACTTGTCCCAATACCAACTATTAGGTAATTATTCATTCTTTACTGATAATTCTCAAACAGTGGTGGGTCTTTGGGAGGGGGTGTATCTTTTATTATTCCTCTTTTCTCTATTCTAAATATTGGGTCAGCATTTTACTATTTTAGTTCTCATAAGCATAGAGTATTTTCAAGCATATATTATTTGCAATATTATCCCTTCCCCTTCTTTTCAACTTTTCTTTAAAAAAATGACAAATCACATATGCTTAATTTTCCAAATAAACTTTAGAATAAGTTTTTTCAAGTTCAAAAGAAGTCTATTAAGATTGTTGATGAGAATTACATTATAGCCATAAATTAATTTAGGCAGAATTGATACATTTACAGTATTTTGTTTTCCCTCAAGGGAAAATAACTGTTTTCATTCATTCACTTGTTTATTCTTTTGTTAGTAAAATTTTGTAATTCTTTAAATGTGAATATTACACATTATTTGTTAAATTCATCTTTAAGTAATTATAATTTTCATTGCATTTTGCAATGAGATAATATTACATGTTTGTTATCTATCTATTCCTGGCATGTAAGAATCTATTAGTTTTTGCATGCTTTTTGACTTGTATCCTTATTAAAACTGTTATTACTTTTAATAACTTACACTTTATTTTCTTGGGATTTTCATGTAAGTTATAGTAATTCATTTAGTTTTATTTACTAATTATATAATGTAGAATTTTGAGAATGAGATGG